GGCGCGTCTCCGGGCGGGCGCGGGACGGCGGGGTCCGCGGGAGCGCGCAGGAGCCCGGCGAGCGCAGAGCGGCGAGCGCTGCACACGGCCGGTGCAGACGCAGCTCGGAAGCAGCGGGGAGGAACGGCAGGCAGCCGGCACACGCTGACGAGGTGGCCGAGTGGTTAAGGCGATGGACTGCTAATCCATTGTGCTCTGCACGCGTGGGTTCGAATCCCACCCTCGTCGTCACTGGGTTTTGTTTGCCTATCGAGATGGAGTTTGAATTTTTTTGTGGGGAGAGCAGGGGAGGTCAAGTTACTGTGTTATTGATTTGGATGGATTTTAAAGTCTATTTTCCTTTCCTCGGGAAACTGTCCACCACTGATTCCCAGGCCTTTGGTCTAGACTCGCTTCTCAGGAAGCTGATGGTATCCTCCAGGCCTGGGTCAGACCTTCTTCCTCCAGGAGGAGAGTTTGAAAGCAACACTGGGGGCGGGAAGAAAGCAACTGTCTGGGTTACTTTTTCTCTCCTTGCTGAGACAAAATGCCTGACACCCTAAAGTAAGGAAGGAAAGGCTTGCTTAGCTCAGTTTGTGGAGGTTTCAGTCTGTAATCAGCTGGCTCAAGGCAGGGTGCCACATGGGGAGGGCAGCACTTAAGGAGGCCGAAAGCAGCAACACTAGCAAGAGCCAAGGGGGAGGGCGCTAATCTCCCCTCATAGTCTAGGCAGGCTGCCGTGCCTCTCCCCAGGTAGAGCGCCCACAGGGCCTCCCTGCCCCGCTCTGGCACAGGGCGAGAACCCTGGCTTCCTGCTGAGTGGCTTGACTCTCAAGTTGACACAGTGTAGCAACCATTACAGCAACCTTGTATGGAAAGAGTTAAACAGGTAGGGAAGGCTTTATTCAAGACTTGCAAAGGGCAAAGAGGCTGGGCTCAAACCGAAATGCAGCAGGAGGTGCTGAGGGTTTATAGCCAGTGGGTGGGATTTAAAAATAAAAAAGCCTTGGATGGAGCCTTCCTAAGGCATTGAGGCTATCAGGGTAGGGAATTCGATTCTTGCTAAAACAGAGTTGGAAAGGCCCAGGGTAAGAACTAATCAAGAAGAGGAATTAGAAGCCTGAGGGATTGGGATTGAGGATGAAGTCCTTGTCCCCTATCCCCTGGGAACTGTTCCACTTCTTAAGGGTTTGAGTCTGAGAAAAGCGTTTCAGGGATCCCTGTACCCCGCACCCCCCCTCCCCGCAGCTGGCCCTTGAGAAGGCTGGGTTACCACATCTCACCAGGTCTTGCCTTGGACCTCAACTGGGAGGCTTGGATGAAGTCACCTTCCTGGCTTTGAGCTAGGACGAGCGTGTCAGGAAGTGGATGTGGTCACAATGCTCACACCGTTAGGTTCACCTGTATTTGTTGAACGCTGGTCCTGTCCTCTGCTACTCCCATGTCATAAAGCTCCAGGAAGATGGCTGGGACACAGGATGTATGTGACAACCTGACCACAGGAGGGACACACTCGTGGCTGGTGGAAGACTGGGCTGCACGTAGTCCACACAGGTAAGGGAGGTGTCAGGCTACTCAGGAGGAGGAGTACTGGGGAGACCTCATCAGAGAAGCAGTGACTGAGTCAACATGGTGGAGAAAGGAGGGATTTCCCTATGCCACTAAATTAGGACCGTCACAGCCACATTGGTGGAGCATCAGTGAGAGCCCACTGCAGGAATCAAAAGCCTGCTTCATACACCTGGAAACAACTTGGTTAGACCCTCTGTGTAAGCGGAGGTAATTCTTAATATGAGCTGATGAAATACTTATGGGTTAATGGGCTTTCACTTGGTGAGAGAACTTGACTAGAAAAAAACCCTGCAAGGCTCACAGAAGACATTTAAACATGAATACTTCCTTGTTCTTTGTTCTTTGGGTCACAAGACAAGGGGAGTGTGCCCAACCCTTCCTTCCTTAAGGTTGCCTGTTCCCTCCCTGTTCCTTAGCCGTTTCAGGTCACAGGTTCCATCAACCAGCAATGTTGAGTTTTCTCAAGCTTTCTAAAAGATCTAGTCACAAGAGGTCCCACCGAGATTTGAACTCGGATCGCTGGATTCAAAGTCCAGAGTGCTAACCATTACACCATGGGGCCACTGATAGAAGCTAGAGATGTACAGCTGTGCTGATACAGTGACATTCCCCCAGCTTGGGCTGGAGCTTGACCAGGCATCTGGCAGCTACAGAACCTGGGCATGCAGAACATGCCTCAGAATTGCTTTGGACCCAGCAGATTCTGGTTTTGTGGAGACTGAAGCTTGCACAATTTAGTGGCTTCTACAAGGCAAAGGAAGGGCCGGATGTGGTGGCCCATGCCTGTAATCCCAGTACTCAGGAGACTGAGGAAGGAGGATTATTTCGAGTCTGAGACCAGCCTGGACTACAAAGTGAGCTCAAAGCCAACCTGAGCTGTATAGGGAGACCCTGGGGGGGGGGGAGGAATAGATGTTACACAGAACTAGAGACGGCCCCTCCAAGGCCTTTCATCATGTATCTGAGGATGCCCCTACTGAAAGGCAGCTGTCTCAACTAAGTTCTTTCTTTCTGTTTGTTTTTTGTATGTGTGTGCGTGGTACAGGGATCGAACTCAGGACCTTGTGCTTGCCACGCAGGTGCTTAAGCGGCTGAGCTATCTCCCTAGGCCTCAACTAATTTCTAATGTTTAAGTTCCCAATATACACATAAAGTTTGCAAATTTTACAGACACAGTTTCATAAAGAGCAACCCTTCTTGAGGCCATGGGAAGGGCTGACAAGTCAGGACTGGTGCCACAGAAAGATTCATGCTAAATACTACTCTGGGTATTGTGATTATGTGGCAATGTAATCTCTACTTCAGTGACTTTTTCTTTAAAAAGGCATCATATATGTATAACTGTTTTGCAATACCAGAAGTGTGGAAACATGCCAGTGTACTTAACCGAAGTATTACATAGCCACTAAAAAGAAGGGGATTGACATGGTGACTTGGCGTTTTCTGGGAACGATTTAAATCTAAAACAAAACTCAAGTCATTTCCTAAATAGGAAGGGAGAGTATTACACATTTTTATAAATCATTATTTGTGAGCATATTCTTTTTTAAATGAAGTGGAACAATACACACCAAACAGCACACGTTTTTCTGTGAAATTAAGAAATTACCTGTTACCTCGGGGGAAGTCCAAAAGAGGAGCACTGCGTGTTGACAGCGGCTAGCAGAGGGCTGTTTGGAAGCCCTAAAGACATCCACACATAATCACAAAGCTCATGCTCCGTCTCACTGGGCGCAGCTGCTCACGGAAGGCTGTTCACGGACCCCAGGATAAGAAATGTTTACATATTTCTGAGAGAAACGTTCTGATAATTCAAAGCCATGCAGATTGGAAAGCTCAAAACGTGAGTAGTGTGCATTGAGAAGGAGGAAAGACAAGAGAACTGGGAAGCGCCCCTTTTAGCAATATGCTCGGAGGGCGTTAATTCAAAAGATTTTATTCGGATTGGCTTGCAGTATATACCCTTTGCGGTCCACGCATTCTGACCACTTGTGCTTGCCAGGCAGGTGCTTAAGCCTCTGAGCAGAGGGGCTGTGGGCGGGGCCCGGCTGGGCTTGGGGGTCCCTGCGCGCCCGCGCAGCGCCCCCTCCCGGGCCGCCCGCGCAGCGCCCCCTCCCGGGCCGCCCGCGCAGCGCCCCGCGCGGCACTTCACGTGCCTCCGCACCCTGCAGCTCCGTCTGCAGCAGCGCTCCATAAGCTCGCACGTCCTCACTGCCCCGCACTGCGCCGAGCTGCGCACGCTGCTGCCTGACGCAGCCCCGCCAGGTCTCCCGCTAACTCCGCGAGCGGCTCTCAGGGCGCGGGAAGCCGGCGTCGCCCGCCGGGCGCCAGCCGCAGCCCGGGCAGGTGCGGTCGCGGGAGAGCCTGGTCTCGGGCTTCTCCAGCTGGGACAGGAAGGCACGGAGGAGCGGGCTGCCCGGCCACGTTTGCGTTCCGTCCGCGGTGGCTTATCGAGGCGGCAGGAAGCCCCGAGCTGCGTGCGCCCCGACAGCGTTCGCGCCACGACCCCTGTGGCAGACCTGCTGGTGCTGCGGCTGACCGCCGAACGCGCCCGCAGGCTTCCGCGACCACCGAGACACGACCTCGTCGGGTGGCCAGAGCGGCCCGGAAGTGCGCGGCCGGCAGCGCGGGCGCGCGGAGGCTCTTCCGCCGGGGGCGAGCCCGCCGCTGCCGAAGCCCGCCGAGACTGGGGAGGGAGCGCCCGGCGGCCGGTGCCAGTTCTCCCGGCGGCCCTTCCCTGCGGTCCCCGCCGCGGGCTGTGCGCTCGCGCCCTGCTAGCGCGGGCTCTTGCCAGCCGGGGAGCGGCGGCCGCGCGGAGGGAGGGAGCGGGCTGCGCTGCGGCGCGAAGGAGTGCGGCTCGCCGGCGGCGGCTGCGGTGGTCCCGCGCCCGCTCTGCTAGGGCGGAGCCTCCGGGCCAGGGGCGGAGCCCGGCGCTCGGGCCTCGGGGGCAGGATGGCGGCCGGCGGGGCTGCGGGGCAGCCGGGGGACATCGTCCAGGTGACGGTGAAGGAGGAGGGCCATGCTTGGGACCCAGGGCCGCGCAAGCCGCGGGGCGGGGCGGGTCCCGCCGAGCTCTCTCGCCGCCGCTTCCGGCAGTTCTGCTATTGGGAGACCCCCGGGCCCCGGGAGGCGCTGCGCCAGCTCCGCGAGCTCTGCCGCCAGTGGCTGCGGCCCGAGACCCGCAGCAAGGAGCAGATCGTGGAGCTGCTGGTGCTGGAGCAGTTCCTGGCCGTCCTGCCCGGGGAGCTGCAGGCCTGGGTGCGCCAACGGCATCCCCAGAGCGGGGACGAGGCGGTGACGGTGCTGGAGGACTTGGAGCGCGAGCTGGATGAGCCGGGAGAGCAGGTGGGAAGCGGAGATGCGGTCTTCTGTACTGTAGAGTGGGAGTGCAGGGGTCCAGAGCGAGGACGGGGGGTGGATTAACACTGCCCTGCTGCTCCAAAATGTGGTTTTCAGTACCCATTTCTTATTTCATCGTTTGCTCTTAAGTTTCACTGGGTAACTGTTCTAATGAGATGATTTAACCAAATAGGAAACTTTGCTCTATAGCTTATACAGGGATATTTTATTTAGTGACTGTAAGATTCTAGAAATACCTTTGGTAAATGTGTAAAGTAATTACCGTCCTGTGTACACTTTTCTGTGTTTTTTCCCCGATATGCTGAGGATCAAACGTGGGCTCTTGCGCTTGCCAAGCAGGTGCTTATGTCGCTGAGCTGTCCCCAGCTTGGCCTGTATAGCTCTTGTTAGGATGTGCACTGCTTTTACCACACGTGAAAATAAGTCAGCGTAAGGATGTGAGAAACGTCTCCTAGAAGAGACAAACACAGAAGTAGCCCAGAGGCAGGTATGGTGCCACCTGCCTGTAGTCCAGCTACTGGAAGGTTGAGTCAGGGATCACAAGTTTGAGGCCAGCCTGAGCAATTTAGAGAAACCTTGTCTCAAAAAATAAAAAGGGGCCAAGCATTGGCCGTGACTCATCCACATGGCTGACACTGACAAAGGTTCTACAATCTGAGGTGCAGGATCTCAGAATAAATCCTGAGGGCATTTCACTGACCTTGTCAGACCAAAAAGCTACAACTCTTGTTGCACAGGTCCTGCTTTACCTTGGTCTTAACCATCCAGTAGAAAAGTATGAAG